CACACACACACACACACACACACACACACACACACACACACACACCCTTATGTACCTCTGGCCCATAGCCCAGCTCTGCATGCATGCATGCATGAATAAACAAACAAACAAACAAACAAATACCAAACCAAAATTCTTCCTTTCAAATTTTATGCTCAGGAAATGATTTACAAAAGCAGCCAGAAGGGCAGACAAAGATGTCTGACAGAACTGAAGGTTCACTTCAATGCTGTTCAGAACAGTAAGGAGCTGGTTAGAAATGATGGAGTCACTTTAAAGTGGTTTTGTAACATTTCTACTGACATGCTCACATTATGCTCAGCTCATTTATCATGTCACTGCAGCCTAAGGGACCTCTTTCTACCCCAGCAATTTACCCGGCTGTCAATCATCCTCGTGACATTGCTGATTACTGTAACAGCCATTATTTAAACTCTTCCCTGCTCACTCTCATTTACGCCCAAGGAGATAACAGACAGTCAGAACCTGAGGCTCTCCCACAACAGATGTGGGCGCGGCCTGGCTCCAGGCATCCCAACCTACTGCACTCTAAAGCCTCATCTTCCTCCTCTGAAAACGCCACGTGTTTTACAAGTCACTGTGGTCTCCAACACACTGTGCCACTTGAGTGATGGCACACAGGCAGACTATCAATGTGAATATATCGCTGTTTCTACACCAGGCCATGAAGGTAAGTTTTTCTGCCCTCGTCCCTTCTCCGGAAGGAGAGTATACACTTGTGGCAGGCAGGACAGCTTATACATAATGAAGTGTTACGTGCCCAGGGGCACAGGAGACCATTCCCGAGCTAAGTGCCATCTGAAATGACTCCCACAGGAAAGAGAGGAAAGAGCAGCTGGCTGCAGGGACCAAGCTCCGAAGTTGGGAAGAGCACAGCACGCTCAGGAACTGGGGAGGGGCTCAAGGGTCTGTATGGCGTGAGCCTCCAGCTGAAGGAGCCCTGAATGTGACTGCTGATGAGTGGCAGGTCTGCGGGAGTGCAGGACAAGGCCTCACAAACGGGACTGATGGGAAGCCACCGCCCCCAAAGAGTCCCAGTAATCTCCAGGTCAGGTGCTGTCCGGGCCTTGTCAGGGCCTGCGCCGAGCTGAGCCCGACGCTGACCCTGGGAGCCCCAGCACGCCTGACAAGCCAGGCACCTCGCGCCTGCAGGAGCACCTGGCGAGTGTCTGGGGAAGTGTCTGCCAGGCAGATGGGGGGACGGGGCCAGGCCCACTGACTACGTGGCGGTACAGATAAGGCTGAAGTTTTTAATTTCATTCACCCAGTGAAGCTAATAAATCACTAGTCATTACCTTCAACACACACACTCTTGTTGGATTTCTATTAAGTAACACTGAAAGATTACAGGTAAAACTGTACGGGCTTTTTATTTGGCAAAGTAAGAGTTCAATTTGGGGGTTCAAGCGTCATGGCAAGTGTTCCTGATTCTTCCAGAAGCATTTTTCCCCCAATTTACTCCTGACACAATGAGTTCAAGACATGCTACCCAAAGTGAAGTGTTTGGTGGGTGACAGATTAAAAGCCAATTCATACAGAGCTGTCACTATTTCACTTTACCAAATCAAAATACCAAATATACGTAAAATCTATTGCCACTGTCATCTGCAAACACACAAAATTTAACCCTCGAAAATAAGCTTAACTTTACAGCAAAGTGGCTGCAGGTCATTTTTGTTGACTTACTACTGACTGGTAACTTCAGAACCTGTCCCAGGGAGCCTTCTCATCAAAGGGGTCAATGTGATTTATGATGAAACTTCTATTTTGCAACTTGCCTTAGAAGCATTTTACTTTAGTCATCCTTCCCAAGACGGCGAGGGAAGGTATCCTCTACTGGCCTTCTCTTCTTTGCGGCCTCTACCTCCTGCCCCTCCACCCACTCTTAGAGTGCTGCTAGAATCACTGACCAATGAGGGGTCGAGGCAAAACACCCGAAGTGTCAGCGGTCTCCCTGCGGTGGCTGCCTCTGGATACTCGCGGGATCATCCATACCAAACACCCTCAGGAATCAAGGAACAAGAAACACAACCACAGCCACACAAGCCGAGACAGTCTCGATCACGTAAACTGGCAAGTCAATAAAATTTAAGGAGAAAAAGGAGCAATCTCAGCCTTCAATGAATCTGCGCTCAAGAGTTCCAGAGCTGTGAACTCAAATTTGCAGAAAATGCTATTCAGTACCTGCATGTGGCATGGTAAGTTTTTTTCTTAACTTTTTCACATAATAAAACTGCTCACGCTTGAGATTTGCAAGGGTTACTGATAGTAAAATCAGCAAAGTCATAAGGGCTGTGAGCTGAAGCCCAGCCTCACAGTGTTATCAAGCTTATCTACTTAAAATGGGGGATGGCTCTCCCTGGTAGGGCAACAGGTTAGAACGCACCACTGCAAGCTAGAGGCAGCTGCTTCAGTGCAAATTCGATCCCCGCCCCAGAGGTGACCCACATGGCACGGCAGGCCTCTCCTGTCTTGCTCCCCTCAGCAGCGTACTTCGTCGATTTGCCTGTTCTGCTCCCCACTCTGTCTCTGGTGAATCTTCTCACCGCCCCTGCACCTCTGGCCTGTACCCCAGTTCTGTGTGCATAAATAAATAAATAAATCTTAAAAAATAAAAAGGAGAGAGGCAGAAGCCAGGAAACTGCAGAATCAACATACACGGGCTAAAGAATAATCAGGAAAAGGAATTTAATGGATCGAAATGATTATTATTTAAATTCCAAAGGCTGCTGATCTGAGGGAGAAAACACACTATTTTAATGCAAGAGATGGTGAAAGGAGATAATTGTTTAACACATGCTGTTCAAATCTAGTTATCAAGTGCCACTTGAGACTATTTACTATGCAACTAAGATCATAACAAATCGAAAAAATGCTGTAAGGATAAAGGCTTAGGAATGTCTGATGACCTGTAGTCTGTTCCTTCATTTACCAAACACACCCTAGACATCTCCTGAAGTAGGAAGCTTCAGGTCTAAGATGATATCCTCAAGTGCTTCAAGTAGTCGAGAAGAAACTTTCCAAAATATAGCAAGAAGAGATAGAAATGACTAAGACAGCACTCGACCTCACAGATGACCAAAATGCTAGCAAAGACTTCAAAACTGACATCGAAATATATTCCTGGTGAAACTGGCACAAATCTGTTGAAAAATACCTGGCAATGTAAATCAAAGATCATTAAAATGACACACGCTGCAACACGGCCGCAGTCTACACGGACGTGGACGGCTACGTGGCAGACGCCAACAGTAGACAAGCACTGGGCCTGACGGGGACATTCTGACAAGGCCACGACAGGGCCCAGGGCAACTCGCCGCGTGAAATAAACCAGGCACACAAAGACAAATGCGACTGACTCCACTTGCAAGAAGTGCTGGAACAGAGAAATCCACGGAGACCAGAAGACACAATGGGGCCATTACCAGGGCTGGCGGGGTCAGGCTCGGGTTGGGGCTGTTAACTAGTGGGTGCAGGGCCTCGTTCTGCAACATGGAACGAGTTCTGAAGACCTGCACAACATGTACCTTTAAGAACGAATGTGCTCGAACATTACTGAACCGTCTGCTTAAAGATGGTTAATACGGAGAAAGACCCGAGTAAGTAAATGCAGTGATACGACTGTTCAATGAAACATTCTACACCGACCAGGGTGAAAGAAACAGCACCACTCAGTCAGAGAAGGGACCTCGCGGCCACACCCTGCTGGGAAGGTGTAGCGCCACCAAGGGTCGGTGCTGAGGACAGTGCGGAGACCTGATGGTACCAGGCAGACTTGCCTTTCTTTTTTTAGACAACTAAGACTTCCTGTCACCATTAACAGTCTGAATCGGAACCAGATTCTTGGAAGGGTGGAGGCCACCCATCAGCTCATTCTGGGTGCGTCTCACCCCCGCCAGCTCCCGCGGAACCACCGCCGTCACCGGGAGCGGCGTGAGTTTGGCCAGCGGAGACCCAGGCTTCGCCAGCATTTTCGCTCTCCAGCCAGCAGTGGCGGCCGATGCGACCTGGACTCACAGGTCAGGTCTGTGCCTCAGGGGCTTCATCCCCTTCTTCAGGGTGCAGAGGGCCTGGCCTGTTGGTGCTTTGCACACATGGTCTTCCCAACCCGGCTGTTGCCTTTTCAGCAGAACCAATCCAGAGCAAAGCCAGTGTGTGGCCGGTCCAACACCGGGACTCTGACGGCGGGTCTGCCGTGTCAGACCGTGAGCAGACCTGTGCCGGTAAGAGCCGGGCAGTTACTGCCCCAGCTCACTCAGTGATCGGCTTGAGTTTCCTAAATGCAACTCCTCCCCTGCAGGTGAGCGAGGCCTGCGCACATGACCCAAGCTGTGAGAGGCGCCCTCAGGGCAGCCCTCGTGCCGGGCGCCGTCCCGACACTGGCCACGCCGGCCTTTCTTACTACACTGACCCCCACTTCACTTTTTGGCTTACTTCTGTCGCCTGTCCTGAGGTGCTTGTTCCTGCCCAAACGGATTTCCTAGGGCGCCGCGCAGGCCCTCTCTCTCCATACAGGCGACCTTCAGAAGCCACATTCAGTTTTCGAAATTTCACTTATCCTGGCTACATCTTTTATATAAACAAATGTTACATTATACAACAAAATAGTGCACACGAGTTTAAAATAAAAGAAACCCACGGGGACCCCACTAGGTCCTGCTTAACTGGTCAACTGCTCTCTCTGTTCCCCATTTCTCTCTTATACCAAATTCTGTCAAGAGTCCTATCATCGCCTCTATTACAAGTTCAATAGACAAAACTGTGTATTTAAAAATAGTGGATTACGTGTATGCGGGCCCTCTTTGATTAACAATCACCTTTCCAGGATTTTATTCTAATAAAACATCTTGGCTATAAGATTTAGCTAAAATGAATGCCCCCAATGTCGCTGTTTATAGCAGAGGAAACAGAAACAACCTCAAAGTCCAACAAAGGACTGGTTCAATGAACCGAGCTCGTAGCCTGGGACAGAAACCCAGAAACACTCAAAGCACAGGGCTGCCCCGCGAGAGGTGCCTACTGGTGGGCCAAGGCAATACCAGCTCTTACAGAGAAGTTACTGCACCCCGCACCCAGTCCCCACCCCGCTTTTCTTTTACTCTAGTTTGCGTGGCTGTGGGGAAGCAGCCAGTAGCTTCATGCAGACAACAGACATCTGTACCACCATACGTATCACATGAAGTTTAAAAACAGCGAGAACCAAAGGTCGTTGTCTATAGCGTACCGACTCCAACAGCGCGTGTCCCCCGCATGTACACAACCCTGACACTGGCATGTCTCCTACAAGCCACATGGAAAATGCTGTGTCACAGTTAACGGCAGCATTTTTTGCTTAGTGATAAACAAAATTCCAGCACAACTCGCAACCAATGGCAGCTTACATCTGAGTATTACTCTTTAAAGCTCAATTTCAAGTTGTTAAGTGAGTGTAAAGAAGTCTCTTCAAGAGCAAAACCACCAAAATGAGCATAAGCTAAAGTGAAAGAAAACTTTCATCACAGATTTTCAGAGCCCACTGTATGCACGTCCAGACACACTCCCACGATTTGATACAAATGAAGACCGTCAATGCCACAATGGACTCCGTTCGGTTTGATCTGAGCCCTGTGTTCCGAAAGGGAACAGCGAAGGCGAGAAATCCCCTCACCCTCCTGTGTTCCACGAAGTAACTAACTTCACTGGTATAGTATGCGCTGAGAAACATCCCTGCTCATCTCCAGACACCTACGTTTCCTGGCACCCCAAGTCTTCTCCCTCCTCTTCTCCACCAGTGGACATTCCCCCCAGCTGCAGCAGCTGGAATAAAGCTGTCTCCTCTGCTGCCCTTCACGTCCCCGCGCGGGAGTCAGGGAGGACTGAAGCCCAGCTTCTGGGTCCCCTTGGCTCTACTCAGGACCAGGCTCTCAGACCCCTGGCCCTGTTCCTGGCCTGCGGTGCAGGGCGCTGGGGGTGGGTCTAACTCCTGGCGCTGGCTTCCAAGTGTCTGCGTGGAAGCCCCAGACGGAACGTGCGGGCTCCGCTGAGTGCGGCTTTGTTTCTGCTCAGCCTCCCTGGCTTCACAGCCTCACCATCTGCTCATCTCTATAAACAAACGATGGCTACAGGGATCTTGTCTCTGCTGGGTGAGAGAGGACAGAGTGTCTGTTTTGTTAGTCTTTTCTGATTGTCTATTTTGAGCTCAACTCAATCAAGAATTTCATGCTTACTGGGAACATATCTCGGGACAGGCAAATTTTGTACTTCTGTGTTTATGCTCCGTGCAGGGCTAAATTAAAACACAAAACACAGAACTCTTACACTTTCCTGCTGCTTCTGCATTTCTATATGACAGCAAGTTAGAAAAGACTTCCCCTGTGCCTGTGTGGATGTTCATATGCCCACCTCTGGGAGCACTACCAAGAGAGATGACCAAGTCTCTTGAGGAACTCTATTCCTACTGACATGACTATTTCTGACAAGTGGATATTCCTAAAAAGCCAAGAAATTGATAAAACTGACTCTCTAATCCTTTCAGGAGAAAAAGAAAAAGAGAGAGAGAGGCATCTTATATAAAACTCAGTTTAAGAATTCAAGCACACATAATTTTGGTAAATCTTTGGCAAGTAAGACTAGTTTAATATTGTTGGTTCAACAGAAAACAACTATACAGCTCTGATTTATATTTAAGTAGCATATGCACAGATTTTTATTCTACTTGTGTATATTCTCCCTGTAGTCTTACAGCTTTACTAAGCTAAGCTACTACTACTTCCATTCAGTGTTTGAGATTATGAAAATGTACATTTGTATTTAACCACACTGAGGCATGACTCATTAGTACTTTAGGCCACTTTGAAGATAATTTCCAAGCTCTTAAGGTAACTTTTGACTGATAGTAAAGATTGACGCATATTCATTGGAGACCCAGATCATCCCTAACCGAAACACTGATTGCTAAAAATAATTTAAATTTACATACTTTATTATTTTTACATGCTCCAGAGAGAACAGATGCATTTGCATGTGTGTCTGTACTTACATGGTGGGGAGGGAGGGAGGGAGGAGGCCTGTTAGTGGCAATGAACATGTTCCTTCTGGACCTAAAGCTGCAGAAGGCTCATGGAAAGAATTGTTTTTCTTTTTTGAGGAAACTCTTTGGGTCTAAAACTTGATACAGTTGTGGGAAAGACTGACAAATGGGAGGGGAGTCCTGATGGAGAACTTAAGGGAAGGGCTGTCTGTAGTTTCACAGACTTTTAAACGAGGCTTTCATGAAGAGCTTTGGCGTCAAATGCACAGATGCCGAACTAGAATCCGGTATCCCCCATATAGTGGCAGAGGCCTCACATACTGGCTGGCTCTAACAGGAGCAGTAAGACTTGCCTCTGCTTTCAGTGTGATCTGCCTAGACAGCAAAGGCTCTGTGTCTACCAGAACAACCTTCTATGGTGCATGCTGAATTTATGATGTCTTAATTATCTAAGAAAAGAAAAGAGCCTCATTTATGAGAGGGTTTCCGCAATCAGGGGAAACCTTATTTACCTTTAAAGTCTTCGTTGTCAAATAGGTAGCCAAGTATTAATATTCTTGGTGACATATGATCCCATCTTAAATATTCAAAACACCTGACAACGTTTGACATCGTGCCTGCCCCAAATCAAATTTTAAGTGCTCTTTTATACTTAAAATAATCTCAGAGATTTCCAGGAGGTGCCCTGGAAAAATCACAAAAGGTCTGTTCTTTGCCCCCTGGCAATAGGAGAAGTGCTGTATCCAACTGATGTCCTATTAACTCACGTCGGAAGAGATACCCAGGACCCTAGGTTGCACCTGCACGCTAAGATGCTGCAAACATGTGGTTTGCAATATGACAAGTTCCAAAGAACTGTCACTGCCCTCCCTGTCCATGCCACCCTTCTGCGACCAGGGCCTGACAGACAGCAGTGCGGCACTCTGGGCATAATGCCAGAGGGCACATGCACATGCTCGGCTGCAGCTCCTTGAAATTGAATCCAGGACCCTCTACGCCAGCGGCTCTCAGCTGGAGGCTCACGCCATCTACCGAGAGTACTGTTCATTCGCAGATGTTCAGAACCTATTCCAGATTTACAGAATTTTCATCTCAATTACACTAGAGCTCCTCTACCTGTTGGGTATATTCTCAGTATATTATACCAGGGCTATTACATGTTCTATCTGGAGGCCATTATTTATCTAGAAAGATTATGTTTCCCATTTTTATAATTAGACATTCTTGGCAGTAAAGTTAATCATGTTTATGAATATTCTGTCTAAATGTTTTTGGGGTTGACTTTTATCTTATCTTGCATGTCACAGAAACCATCACATTTCCTTATCAATTGCCTTGATCTTGTAATGAATCCTCACTGGAACTTTCACTTCTGAAAGTGTCAGTCACATATTAACCAGAGCCGGATGAGCTCCCTGCCACCCTCACGCAGGCCTCGCTTAGCCCTACGCGTGTCTGGAGGCGCCTGTGACACCCAAGGCCGGAGCGCCTGCTTCCGCAGAGAGGAATGTCTCAGGGCCCGCAGAGAGGACAGGCCCGGTGCCAGGCGCCAGGTGCCCGGCCCGGCTTCCCACAGCCTGCTGAGATGGCTCAGAAGCCATGCCAGAGGGCTGACCAAACTTCTACCCCTCTCTTCAGGGAGACGGGCTCACAAGCCTGCTGAGCGAGCATCAGGGGAGCAAGAGCTCCAAGGGCCAAATGAACCCGCTGGGAGCACTGGGTATACTGCCACAGTAGTGACACTGGTCTCTGGCTAGACAGGGGACCTCTTTCCCGTTCTCTAGGACTCTCCATAACTCACAAAAACTCAGTAGACTATGCTTTTGCAATGACTGTCCGCAGTATTTTCTTTTACTCTGGTGTGAATAAAAGAAACACGGCAACAGGCTTCAACACTCCCACAGCTGCACCTTACGGCCCAGGAATCTAGCCTAGAACAACCCTGTAAGGCCATAGTCAGTA